CTGATATTAATTGGGCTAATTACCTATATATCTCTACCTTGGATTAAGATGGATCGTTTCCACAAGCTTTCCTCGTAGGATTAAGGATGCACGAGGATTCTAAGCGGATAAAACTTATTTACATTTAATCAGTAAATAATCAGACATCTTTTTATCCTCTTTATAAATAATATGTATTTACAAAAGAATCATATATCTCGAAATTTTCACACGTGTGGCGATATTTATTTTTTATAATTTCTTATCGATATGATTTAGAACTTTAAAATACGAACGAATACAAGTAGATGAAATTTTATAAAATTTTATAAAGAAATCTATAAAGGCCTTAAGAAGAGCCCGAAAATATCAAGTCTCTGCAAGCGCTTTTAAATGGACTCGGCCGGTTTCGCGTCCGCAAAACAAAAACCCTATTGTGCGATGAAAAAATTTCTTTAAAAAATAAAAAAAAAAAAAAAAAAAAAAAAAAAAAAAAAAAAAAAAAAAAAAGAAAAAGAGGCTACTCGCGGGATGTGCAATATAAATAACGACGTGTTCGGTTCTTGTTGAGAAAATGACGGAACGAAAGGAAGACGTGGATGGTGAAAATAAAGAGCGCATGCGGAAACAAAGTGAGCGAGAGACCGCGGTGGAAATGGACCAAAAAGGAATATTGGCACGAAAGTACCGTCGGACCGACTATCAGTCCCACGCGAATCTTCACTTCCGCTCGTTTCCTGCAGTCTCATTTCCCCTGTGTAAATATTCACGTGCTACTCGGTGTACTGTATACGTCCACGTACAGCCGTTCTCTTTTATTTTCTTCTTTCTGTTTGTTTAGGAAATGCTCAGTCGTATGTGCCCGATCGACGATTATTAAATCAAATCGTCGATCACTGTCTGCACTGCCTCGTTAATGTAACACGTTACAAATTAAACTTAATTTCAAATTTATGTATTTAATAATTTAATTGGATTTATCACGGTTTTTTTTTCTCAAAAAAAGAAATTTTTCAAAAGGATTTAACTTAAAAAAAAAAAAAAATGATTCGATGCTTTTAATATTAAAAGTCGTTAATTGTTAACGGACGTTCGTCCAAGTTTCGTTTCGTGATCGATGTTGAGAAAAACAAAAAACTCTACCGGCCGACTTGACTGGTAATGAGTGTTGAATCATTAATCCAATTTCGATTGGGTCAGCTTGTCGGGAACGACACACAACGGTTTGCAAAGTTGACCACTGCCACGCTTCGCGAAAACGGGATACGCGGCTACGTGACACAATGTGTGGTTAGCCGCCGAGGACCATCGATCCGCTTCGATGGAAACAGAGCAAGCTGCTTTCCTGCGGATTGTGCCACGGAAATGTAGGTCGGTGACCTTTCCGCGCTGAAGTCTCTCGCTCCTCTTCTTCTCCTCACTCCGCTTCTCCTCCTCTCGTCGTTCCATTGACTGTGACCGCAACTTGGCGGTGGACCAGAATCGCTTTCTCTTTCTTTCTTTCTTTCTTTCTTTCTTTCTTTCTTTCTTTCTTTTCTTTTTTTTTTTTTCTTTTTTTTCTTCCTTAATTGTAAAATTTATTCCTTCTGTCGTTATTTGGATTTGGAGGCGAGGATGGATTGGCGAATGATATGACGGACGGATTTGCGGTATATCATCCTGCGGTCAGGTGGCGATTGAAAATTGTCGTGTTCAATTCGAGATAATACGCAATAATTTAACGTGCGTATAATGCTGCTTTCGCTAACTGTCTGGTTATCGCTGTTTTGTTCAAATTTATTTAAAATTAATGCGCAACTCTTCGTGTTGCCACCAGTGGCATAGTTAATATGGACGCGACATTATTTCTCTTTTGGCAATTTGATATTTGTTACTGTAATTTCTTTATAATTATTATAGAATATATATAGAACGTGAAACAGGATATTCATTTAATTTTTTTTTAACAGAAGAAAAACATGATTTGTGATGATGTATAAGCAAATAAAATCTGCGATAATTATATGAATTGCAAATCAGGAAACGTGAATTGTGCATATTCTTTCGTTAGTTTTATGTTATAAAGTGAATTCACTCTCGATTTCTTTAATTCGGCCAGTCGAGCATTTCGCGTAACGAAAACGACAAGAGGAAATTCCGATAGTGAACAGGATGACAATCTTCTCTCGCGAGTCTCGTTGAATTTTAAGATAGTAGAAAGAGTGGCGAACGGGAAAACTTGAGGAAAATTTAGAGGGGTCGTGACGACAGGTAATTGCATTGCAAAATCGTATGCAAAAGCTCGTGACTCCCATATCAGAATCCTCGTTATTACCTGTCTGTCCGTTTTCAACTCAAGCGCGGACTATTCTTATATATATATGTTATATATGAAATATATATATATATATATATATATATGTGTGTGTGAATAAGAAAGTATCCTCATTTACACGTCACACAAGTAATAGCTTTTGTAGAAATTAATTGAGTTCGAATTTGGACATATTAAACATGTATAGATTACTTTGATTGCATAACGAGCGCGCATAAGTTCTTACTTTTATTTTTTATCGCGTGACTGCTCCGTAAAATAATGGAGTGATTCATTTTGCGAAATAAAAAGAGAATCATAGACACTCACGAGCAACATTCAACAATTTTTATTTTACCATTCTCTTTATATAGCAGCTGTGTACATAATCGAGATTGTTGAAACAGCTGTATAGCTGTTATTTTATAATAAGTGAAATGATTTGTTACGTTTGCAGAAGAACGTCATTATTTTTATTAACTTTATCTTGCAAAAAGAATATACATTTTTGATATTGTAAAAATGAACATTGTAAAAAGCTTAAAAATTTGTCCGCATGACATTATAATATATATTTAGGAAATTTTCGTATGGATGATTATTTCCACAACGGAGAAATTTACCTAGAACTGTTCGAAGATATAGTTACAATAGTCATCGATATTGTATTTAAGTAAAAGTGTATTTAATTGACATTGTGCAAATTTAGATGTTTTATTTTGAAATCATCGAATCGTACAATTAGCTGAATCATTGACTTTTTTTTTTGTAATATATATTTTTTACAAATGTACATACTCTTTTTTTATCGTACTTGTTCTCGTCCGCTTTTTAAACAAAGTAACAATTATTTATAATATCAACAACTATTGTTACTCTATGCATCAAAAGAACAAAAAAAAAAGAACAGAATTTAATTTCTATAAAAATCTTCCACACGTAATTCCAATTTATACGTTTAATTCAAATATGTCGTATTAAATTTGACAATAAACCATCGAACGATATTGCATTATATTAGAGACAGATGCCACAACGTGGCAGTCGGGGTGGCATGGCAGGTGATGTTGAAAATGATTGTCTGGCACGAAATATGAATACCCAACTGGCGGAAAAACTGGCGGGGGTTTACTTGCAGACAGGTCTAATGTGATTGGTAGTTCCTGGACGGACGTTTCAGGGGTTTCTCGGAGGACAATCGAGTTTGTGCTCGGCTGGCAATTACACTCTCCGCTCGTTACGCGGTTTGACAAACTTTCTCGGGGCGGCGAAAGACGTCGTGTTTCCGCGCGCCTGATCGAGGCCCCCCTGCCCCCCCCCCTCATTTTCGTTGAGTTTGAAAGTTGCGATAATTGCGGAGCAAAATAGGTTCCGCTGCTCGTCGCGCGTGCCAATCCTGCGCAAGCAATAACAAATATTAAACAGCAACGGCGCGTTTCCGTCTATCCGTTTTTATAACTCCCCCGACAATGCAGCCTCGTAGCTCGAGAAAATTGGAGCATTATTAGGCAAATTAGGCCATTAATCTAGAATATGTACGACGACCAACTCTCTGGACTCGCATAATAAACTCGATAAACCGAGAAAATTATATTTTAATTTTTTCAATGTTTGATTTTGCATAATGGAAAATTATAAATATCGAATGCGAATATTGTTGTTGTTCATTTTGATCGTATAGATACTATTTGGTTACTGGGTTTATTAAATTCTCTCAGTTCTCTCTTGTTTGATTGTTGCGTTTAATTTTACGATAGAAATAGCGCCTTCTTTTACGCGAGAATCTCTCGTTTATTTATACGAGTACCAAACTGCAATGATTCTTGCTCTGAAATAAAAGGGTGAACAGTCGTAAAGGAGGCGCGCATGTACGGATAAGAGGCGGAATAGTATTCGTTATATTTAAGTCTAAATTAAGTAGTTTTATATATATAGAGCAACCTTCAGAGAAGAGTTTCCGCCTGTTTTCGAACAAATCGCGCATTCTCATAGAATTTTACGCACACACTTGGCAAGATTGTTTAAACAACTGACTGCCACGACTGACTGCGCTCTTTTACTCCACTTTCGGTTTTATTCTTTTCGCACAAACGATTCTTTTCATTATTACAATCCATCGCGCACTGACAATGAACGTTTATCCCTTATCTCGCATAAGGAAATTCCGATTTCGACGTGAGCGAAAAGTGGCATATAAAACGCGCAAATAAAATATCGGTCGTTTGACGCGAGCGAACGTGCGCGCGTAACCTGTTTATCTCATACTCCAATTTAATTGGTGCATTATGGGACATTACGCGTATACAATGTTTGGCCGCGATGGTTGCGGTGGTTACAGTTATTGGTTTATGCACCCCTTGCAGCTCCTAAGCATATTTTACGATAATGAATTTAAAATCCTAGTCGAGAAACGTGACACGTAGGGAAAGTATGCTCGCGATGCTCGATCAAATATCGAAATAGCGAAATGTTATGTAAATGAAACGTCCGCAAGAACAAGAATTGAAGAATATGAATAATAGACAAGATTTTATTTACTACATCAGTTCTCAATCCTTTATGTTTATTTTTCGCTTATCGCATTATTTCTCTCAAATAATACTAATAATAATAATAATACGTTTATAATACGCTTCATGTTCCCCGTGCAAATTAATTGCAATATTTTTGTTCTTTTTGTTAATTAAAATTTCTTGGATTAATTAGCGGAATATGTTCATTTTATTTCTTCGTTGATATAAATTATAAAGCGCCATTGGCAATGGTCTGTGCGAGATAAGATAGCGTTGAATTTACAGCCTCACGTCACGGCCCCATTGCGCTTTTAATGCTGTCGCCGGTGATCGTCCAAGTGAAATATCGTCCTGTAAAATATGAATCTGGCCAAGTCTTCCATCGTCAATGTTACGGTATCCTGTTTACGGGCTACGGGGAAGGAAATATAATTACAAGATTTCTATTTGACGAAAGCTCACGCGAAATTGATACATGGTAGTTTTCGGTGAGATATCAATTTGCAAACTGCTCGCAAGAAGTATTTTCACATTACGTCATATAGCGTGAAATTCACGCGTAAGCTTTTTCGCTAAAGTACTTTTGAAGTATCTTCCGAGAATCCGAGAGTCGTTTCGCATTTGAAATCTCATTTGCTTTTAGCACTATTGATTCAGTACATTGTGTCGTATATTTGAGAAAAGCATGTACTAAAGATTAAAGATGCGTTTCTTATCTCGCAAAATCACTCCTCTAAGCACTAATACTTTGCAAAATGACAATTTGCAGTAAATAGTTATGTTGCTGATAAAACATTTCTGACATTAATATTCACCTCATTTACAAAGAAGTTAAAAATCAATCATTTCTCGTGTTCGAAATACGTGTTTTAACTCTTCTATCGACTTATCATTCACTATTATGTCGATTAATACAATCGAAAACTTTTGTAAACAGGCGTGAGATCTCTGTTATAATCTCTATTGGATTTCTATTAAGTAATCCTGGTACAGTAGTATAAATAAAATAAAATATTAAATTATACAGTTCGATGCATATGCAAAGATAATATACAATGAGTAGACATGAATAGATCCTTATGTGTGTATTTGTCGAATGCTTCTCACCAACCCGCAATTTAATTAATTTCTGATTTACACTCTAGCTACTCTGAAATAATCTAGCTTTGTCAGCAACAAAGTGAAAGAAAACATTGCAATTGTGATTGCAATTTGTTAGATTGTCATCGGTCAGCGTTATTCGGCATCGACATCGATGTGCCATGATGAAAAATCTCTTATAACGAATGCGAGAAAAACACATTGTCCCATTACGAGTTTCCAATTCGTCTTACTGGACGGACAGGACAATTTTGATAATATTATTTAAATCTCAACTTTTCCGTGTCAGCTCTTCCTGGATTTGCTGCAACGATTTACCCTTAGTCTCGAGCATACAGAAATAGGTGTACGGTACGGCGGTTATCAATAGCACAGCGTACGCGTAAAATAAATATTTTTCCGTGATCAAGTTAAGTAAAGGCTGATAAGTCGACGTGGAAATGAAGGAAGATATCGCACCGACGATACTGGATAAACAGCCGGCCACGCACTTGACATGCGGCGGAAAGATCTCACCCAATACCGTGTTGGGTATCGAGACGATGCCGATGTATATGGATACCTGGAAAAGCAACACCGAGAAAATCGGTAGTGCCTGAAGATCGGCGGGATTATAGCCCGCGTCGAGAAATTGGAATTGCGTCCCCAGGCAGATTAACGACGTCGTAACGGCCAAGCTGGACACGATCATTAAAATCCGTCTGCCGAATTTCTCGATCAGGAACATGGACAATATGGAACCGACGATCCCGGTAGCGGTGACGACGATCACGATTATCGACGGTTCCACAACGGTCACTTTGGCGCTCCGCAGGATGGTCTCCATGTAAAATAGCACGTTGTTCAGGCCGCACATCTGAAGGTATACGAACAGAAGTGACACGAGTACCTGCGCTTTCCAAATATACGGAATCTTGAATTCTTTCATAACGTCCACGAAAGGTAAACTTTTGTTCGTCTCGAGGAAAATTTTTAACGCCTGTAACTCCGATTCCACATCGCAATCACGGTGATACCAAAGTATCGATTCTCGCGCTTTTGTTTCCTTGTTCATTTTGACATAATAATACGGCGATTCTGGTAGCCAAATAAAGATGATTATTAATATAAAGCAGAGAGCAAAGCATACGATAGCGCTGACCTCCATCTTTAAATACGCGCCCATGATACTCATTATTAGATTGCCTATCGATAAACCGCTTACACCTGTAAAGAAAAAAATTTAATTTTTATGTATAATTATTTATTATTATTGCGATTATATTTGCAAAGTATTTTTTGTTTTTTTGTTTTTTTTTTGTTTTTTTTTTTTTTTTTTTTATTTTTTTTTTTTTTCTTTGTTGTTTATTATGCTACTAAATATTATAAAATGCACGGCTATAATTCTGATTTAATTCTATTTTTAATTGTTAAGAAAATTTTATTAGTAGTTTACTTTATTTTTGCTTGTAGCAATTAAATTAAATTTAGTATCGTAATTTGTATTTCTATAAATAAACCTGATAAATTTTTTAGCGGTACAGATTTTATGTAATATCGTAACGTAATCAAATCAATGCAATTCCGTAATATTAAATGACTGATTATGATATTGAAGTTTGATCACTTTTACATTGAATATTTGATATCGCGAGAACAGTTATGATAAAATCTCTTTTTTTTCTGCATGTAATTATTTTATATTATCGTGAACGTTATCTATTATCTCAATATCTGTTATCAAACTTTGAGAGAAATGATTTTGCATTATGATTATTGGAAAATTTTAAATGAATGAAATTATTGGTCAAAATATTGAAATATTGAAAAAGGGAAGCAAAATAGACATAATGATATTAAAATATCAAATATTTTTCATATTTTTAGAGTTGTATTCTGCATTTGTGTCTAAAGATTGACAATGTATATGAAGATTGCGCGCGCGTACACACACACACACACACGCGCGCGCGCGCGCGCGCGCGCGCGCGCAAAACACAACACAAAGACAGACACATACACACACGACATATGAGTACTGAAAATGCGTACCTAAAACAACTAGAGCTCCGCGAATAGCAGGATCTGCGATTTCGCCTAGGTAAAGCGAGAAGCAGCTGTACATCTTTCCCAGACTGATGCCAGCTAGTAATCTAGCTGCGTACAGCCATTCCACCCGATTAGCCACAATCATAAAGAGCCAGCAGAGAGTTATTGGCAAACTGGTCACGAGGATCGTTGTTTTAGTGCCGAGATAGTTGACGGCAACGGAACCAGAAATGGCGCCAATTAGCCTGCCTAGGTTCAACAGAGAAACTACCCAGGAAGCCTCGTCCATTGTTATAGGGATGTGAGATTCGGATGAAGTCAGATAGGCGATATACGGCGAGCTCCAAACCGCTATCAGTCCCATTTGTAATTGTAGAAGATTGACTGGGAATTGGAAAACTATTAGTTCCCGTTTATATCTATTCCAATTTTAATTAATAATTATATATATATATATATAAATTTAAATAATAAATCTTTAAAACTACAAAATATTCTAATGTTTAGTTATTAATATATGTATTAATATATGTGGGATATATACCTCCGATACCGGCAACCCATTGAGGCCATATCACTCTTTTTATTATCTTCTTTTCTGTTTTATGATCCATCATGATTGTTTAATAGATTGCTTATAACTGAGTTTCTCCGTGGGAAATACTAAGTGTTCTGCTATTAAAAAAAATCGATGAGTTGTAAAACGTCGTAATTTAACTCAATGACGTAAAAGTTGTTTCATAAATAATGTATTTTTTAAAGAGTTTTTAACGTATACTTAACAAAAGAATTGCAGAAACATTCATCATTTTTATATTTATTATTTAAATTTATGATTACCATCTGATTACCAACTGATATGATTATCAACTGATAAGTTACCTGATTAATAAATTAACTGATTAATAAATTGCTATTTAATAATATATATTAATGGATAATTGTTTAAAAATTGAACTTTATAAGATTAATAATGGATAAATTTTAAAATTAATTTTTATATAAGATTTAGATAGCATAGTTGACGTTAATTACTAATTTTTACCGTTTAGTTTATATTAATTTTTAATGTTAGTTGGTTTTGTTTCTTTAGCTTCTTATATCATATCACATTTACATATCGTAACATCATATGTATTATATAGATCATGTTAATTTAATTAAATTAAAAATTTTAATTTATATCTAGATTATCATTTATATAAAATTTCAAATTTTGAAATTTGATTCAACTTGTAAATGCAGTCTATTCATAGTTAGGAACGATAGAATGTAGATAGAAGAATAGAAGATTGTTTATATAAAAAGAATATAAACAATATTGTGCATATCTTATTGTACCAAATCAATATAAAGTTTATTAAAATTATATACATAATTATTAAATTTTAATAGTTATCAAACATCGTCAAAATATAGGATTCTGCGGTAATAATTTTTTAAAATTTAATATTGAATTACGCAAGATATAATATGTTATATTTTAATTAATTTTTATATGAATTTCAATATTTTTTAATATTTTAGACTTCTCTCTTTTTTATATTAAATATACATTAAATATTAATATATATTAATATAATATAATATTATATAATATTATGAAAGATATATACATTTGTGAATATGATTCTATTATTATACAAAAAGTTAAATGAACTATTTTAATTGCACATTCTATTTAATTAATATTAAGTTTAATTAATATTATTTTAAAAGCTCTTAATACGTGACTATTGAAATAGTGATAGTTTTAGAATAAGCGATTAAAGCTAAATATGAACGAATAGAAAATTCAAAAGTTCTCGTCAAAATCATAGATTTAAAATACGTACATTTATGTTACAGTAACTTACTAATGTTTAAATATTAACAAGAGTGATTCTTAGTGTTATAACAATGGGAAACAGTAGGGCAATTAAGAATCAGCGCTGTAAACGATGCGCATTACAGACTCCACGTGAAGTTTGTATAAAATAATTTTTTTAATATTATAATCTTATCTTTAATAATAAAATAAAAATATATTGTAAATTATCTTTTATTTTACTCTATATAAAAGATTTATATGATTTATATTAGTATGCTTTATATTTATGATTAAGCAAATGGGATAACATATTGAAGTTGTTTTATAACATTTCAATCAAGTAAATCAAGTCTGACAAGTTTTAATTCTTAGAGAAATAAAAATAACGTATGAACTTTTAAAAGTTATTTTTCATATATATATTCTTAGCTTTCTGATATTATTAATAATTTTAATATGAAATTATATGAAATATTACGACTTAGACCTTCTATAAGAAGGAAAACGAGTGCCTAATAAAAGTGAATATTCTCTTAGTTGATGTGATCGTATTAATACGATATTAGTTGATTAATATTAAAAGTTAACTTACGGAAAATTATAAGTAGAAGATATAGAAGAAACTTGATATAAAAATGAGGAACAGTGATGATTGATGATGTCAGTATAAGATACAATCGAGCAGCACGATATGCGTAGTTGAAACAACTTACAGTTCTGAATAACTTACAGTTGCACACACGTCAGAAAGAATATGACGCCTTGCGCGATAAAAAGTGACGCGGTAGCCAATCAATTTCCCGCGTTTTTAAAAATAATAGATAGGTAATATTTGAGAGATAATTGGCTACTGTGTCGCTTCTTATCGCGTAGAACGTGTTACCTGGATGCAAGAGCATTTTGTAAGCCGTGAAAATGTGGCTTAATAATAAAAGAGGAACGTATACGTTGTATGAAGATAGAATATAAATTACTAAAAATGATAAATTGTGTGGAAGCTCAGAGCAGAGATAATAAAAGAATTTAAGAGATAAAAAATTGAACAAAAAAAAACGTAATTGATTTGATATTGATAATCAAAACTTTTGCTAATACGTCTAATGCTAATTACGTCTATAAGATAAGAAATAGAAATGATACAGCTTATTATAAAACAGATAAAATAGTAAAAAAAAAGGATAAATATTTATTTTATTCAATCAAGTTTTAATGTTATGTATAAAAATTCAAGACCAATGTTTAACAATGGAAACATACAATATAAGTATTTTTCAAGATTGAATTTTAATGCTTAATAATCTCTTTAAATTTATTTATATTTATATTCGGTTTTGATCGAAAATGCCTACACTTGACTCAATAATATACATTGTACAACTTTCTTAATTGTAAAAATCAACGACGAATTTTGACCAATTATAATCGCGGAAATTATATTCAGTTTTAGTATAACAATTTTAAATCGATCTACGATTAATCTATAATTTATTTAATTTAGTTGTATTAATAATATAATCATAATCTATGTGTGTGAACTAAGAATAAATGGCACAAGAGTACCATACATGTTATAATGTTTTTAATATCATAAATTTGTTTAATTTCTCGTTTCACAATTGATATTTTTATTTTTATCGAGCACAGAGTGTAAAGAAAAGTTAAAATGATACTATCTAACCGAAGATCCATAATTTTTGTTTAGACAATTCATTTTTTCTAGTTCCAATTTTGAATATCAAGGTTTTATTCAATTTTAAATCTTATTAATATATTCAATTGTTTGTAATCCTATAGCTATTTTTACATATTAAACATAGTAAACATTTATAAATTATATTTTATACTATCTACAATATTAACAAAAGTACATAATATTGAATCCTTCGTAATTGGTTTTTTTATAATTACATTAATTATTTTCTATTTGTTCATTCTGGAATAAATTTTTGAAGAAATTTGCTACTTTTGAATATCTTCGACGTGAGTCTTTTGTGATGATTTTTTAGTAGTTTTTCCTGCGGCCATCATGTCCTGAATTTCCTATTAACATCGGCAATGATTAACATATTTATACCAAACTTAGGATAAAGAATAAGTTTTGCATGTCTCTCTCTCTCTGACGATGTGGACCATTATTACCAAATTACCTGTAGCGTTTTTCCTTTCGTTTCTGGCACTACGGTAAGTGAATAGACTAAACTGATCGCAATGATGGCGGCGTAAATCCAAAAGACATATTTCTCGCCGATAAGGTCGATTAGCGGTTGGTAGGTTCTCGAGGCGACAAATGCGAATAAGGCCCCTGTGACACCACTGACGAATCCAGCCGTGCTTTTCAGACTGGATGGAAATATTTCGCTCAGCATCGCGCTGGGCACCGGTGTGAGTCCAAAAGACATCAATGGGAATATCAGTGTCAACGACAAAATGATCACCCATTCTATATCACCGGGATCATAATCGTATTCCAGTAGTAAAAAGTGGAAACCTAACAGCAGCATGCTGATGAACACGCCGAGAGATGAGATTGCTAGTAGGATCCTACGACCGCAACGATCGATGACGAATGCGCCGATCCAACCGAAGATTATACCTGATAAACGTAAAATAATTAAAAGGAGACAATTTAATTCTCGTGACTTAAATAAAGCAAACGAAATTTAAGATTATTGTACATATCGCAGTTAAGATGGATTATAGTTCCACTAATACGGAGAGATAATAATACGGAATGAAGAGATAGTGATTGATATTATTGATATCAAAGTCAAACATACAGACTGCATTGACGATGATTACTATAGACGAAGGCGCGATCAACGTGACCTTTGCCTTTCTGACAATAATCTCCGTGTAAAATATAATGGTGTTTAGTCCACTAAGTTGCATAAACATAAACAATAGTACTATCATCACGAGAGAGCGGCGATTTTTTGGTTCCTTTATTTGCTGCCATTGTTCCGCCCTGCTCATCGCGCATGTCGATTTCACAAAATGTTCTACGTCCTCTATATCACTTCTCACATCGGATTTTTGTTGATACCATTGGATGGCTCGTTTTGCTCTAGAATTAATATGACATATAAAAATATTATTAATTTACATAAAAATTTGTATCGAAAATATATACAGAATGTTTTCGTATATAAACGTTCAATTATCGTTTTATGATCATTAATATTTCATTCTTCATATATTTGCAATTATAATTATATTTTATATTTGCAATTATAATCATTTTTTTTGTTGCCTTAGCTTGCATATTTCCAATGCTTTTTTTTCTGTGTAGAATATAAATGCGAGTATTATATAAATATTATATGCACTTAATAAGGAAATGTGTATAGACGTGATTTTATTTCAATGATTTTTAGAAAAATATGAAATACAAATTTTCTCTTGTTACTACTTTGTTAAATTGAATATTTTTTTAAATAAATGACTAAAAACTTAAGGAAAGGAAACATTCTTTTAATAAGTTTAATAGATCAAGTGTAATTAGCATTAAATAAAATAAATTATTTTTTATTATGTCAAGAGAAAAATTTCATAACATTTTTTTAATATACTTGGTAGCTACTTGGGATTTCGTGAAATTATAATTTTATCTTTCGTTCTTTAACATTTCTGCGAATCTTAAATTTTTTTATAGGAATAAAAGATGAAAATGTATTAAATTAATTTTATTCACATAAAAATGATAAATAAAATCGTTTTTTGTGTGAAAAGTGATAAGTAATTTTTTAAAATGTTACCTTTGAAATTTTATAATTTTGAAACTGATTAGTAATATCTGCTTGTGGTGCAAAATACAATAATTTGTTTCGTGTTACGTATTTATTTCGAATAATATTTTAAATTTTGGATAAAATTATTTAATTATGAGTATGGTTGTATGCAGTCACATATATAAAACGAAGTATTTGTTGAATAGCTTGCTTCTTTTTGAAATCTTTTGGTTAATTAGTATTTTTTCATTTTTTGATTTACTGTTTGAATAAACTATTTACTCGAGCAATTGATAGAAAATTAAATACAACTATGTTTTCTTATGTACACGAATCAATTTATTCTATCAAAGATTTCTTCATCGCAAAGCTAATAAATCTGAATTAAATATCCTTAACACATGACATGAAATATTAATTTTTTAAGAATTTTTATATATAACGCTGAAAAAATTTATGTACAATAAAATTATGTAACCTTATTGCAAATGTTAAAAAGATAAGAGAATTGAGATACGAAGATATAAAACTTTTTAATACAGACTAATTCCTCTTCAACATTTTTTGTTTTAAAAAGCACTAGAAATATCTATAATGATAAATGGAGCATCTTTTAAGAATGAAGTATATTTATTGTTAAAGATTATTTGACATGTGCAATTTTAACTTGTACATTAAATCAATCTAATAATTTGTGTGACATACCATATTGTTATCGAATATTAAAATTACTGAAGTATTGAAAGTACATTGCATAAGACCTTTAAAAGAATGTTTATCTTTCTTTTTTATTACGCTTCCTTTTTGAATTACATTACATAAAAATACTATTATTAGATAGGAGAAAATTTGGTATTTGTGGCACGACTATTCACGGCTCATTAAATAACAAAATTCACGGTTGGATATAACTTCGATAATCTACTTTATGAAGCAATTGTACAAACAGAAAAATTGTATTCACCTCTCGGTATCATTTCGTCGTACATAGTAATGCGGGGATTGCGGCAGGAATGGAAAAATACTCATGTAACATAGTGTCAGTATCAAGCTAATAATACCGAAATACATCATCGACATATTGGGACCCATTATAGTACCCAAGAGCGAGCCCATGGGGAATCCATTGATAATCAGACACACCAAGGCGCCACGAATCGATGGCGCCGAAATTTCACCGATGTAAAGCGGATAACAAGTAAACACCATTCCCATTGACATACCTGATTAAATTGATATTACTTTGCGATATAAAAACGTATAAGCTCCAGATTAAATTTTAGTTAAATTTCTAGGAGTAAGGTACTCTTATATAAAACAAGTAAGATTGAAAGATTGAGCGATTGTTTAAATATTAAAAAATAGCAAATGAGAGAATTAGAAGAATAAATAAAATATCAGAGATCATTTAGATAAAGTAGAAAGAATATCAGAGAATAGAAAATCATATGATTAAGCATTATGACAGATTTAATTGATGAATTAATTTATCCTGCATGTCGTTGTTAGTTATAGCAAATGACTATTGATCGAGTATATTGTTACCTGAAAATATTCTGAAGATATACAGCCACGTAGCGGAGGTGCTACATATCGTGCAGATCCAGCTGAAAATCAGCGGTAATCCCGTTAACAAAACAGACATCTTACTGTCGAAAATTTCTACCAAGAAGGAGCCGATGATAGCGCCCAAGAGACGTCCAAGTGGCAATAGAGAGGCTATCCAGGCTGCTTCTTCTTCCGTCACACGAAAGGGCGCGTTCTCGTCAGTCAATTGCGCCAAATAAGGCGATGTCCAACCCAACGCGAGACCAATGCTGATGTTCAATAGAGTCACTGTGACACAATATTTTCTTACGAATCACAGCAAATTCGGTTCGCTCATGTTTCATCATTCTGCAGATAACATTGAATTGAAAAAAGCAAATGTCGTTTTGTAAATTAAAAACTAACCTATTATAGTGGCGAACCATTGAGGCCAGAACCGAAGCAGAACGTTGAACATTTTTCTTTTGAATCCACGCGTATATCTAGTAGGAATGCAAATAGAAAGAAAATATAGAAAATAAGAGAGACGATTATTTATCGCGATGATTCTATATATTTGAAATTATTTTCATTCCAGGTTTCATTTTTGTTAAATGACAAATTTTTTTTTCGGACTTAGATATCGGCTAATTAGATATCGAAAGAAGAGAACCGCTGGAACTCCAGAAATTCTCTACTCGAACAGTGAATCAGCACATTCGCAAAACTTGTTGCGCGAGATATTAGATTTATAGTTATATATGCGAATTCAAGAAATTACTAGAAACATGCAAAATTTAGAATAAGTCTCGAAAGGCTGTAGAGACATGCCTATGAAACATCGAGGAAATTACGATTGAACTGTCACTTTATCGGATTTACATACACATTGACTGCACCATGAATATTTTTCATTTATTTGGTGGCGAAAATCATTTTTCGACAATGGAATATGTCGATCCTGCGACAAGTCGGTTGTGACGTCTGTCGATAATACAAATTTGATTCGAGAATAAATAAGTCACCAGAATACATGATAAATGCGTACGAAATAAGACTAAGTATTTACTTTAATTAAATATTTAATATGAGAATATAATATCGCTATTAGGACATATATAATGAATTAATTAATTTTTTTTTTTTTTTTTATTAAATATGTTCTATGACGGCATCGCTTTGACTTTCTAATTCAGGCAGACACATACATTGCCTTTGATATTTAAAATTACATCGGCCATTTTATCGCGCAAGATTCTCGATTTGCATGTACAAATTGCGATAAACGTTTTATATTATCACTTGTTTACACACTTATAACACGTTTTTACGACTGCTCTTGTATAAATAGACCGATATATAAAAGATTTAAATTAATTCATTTTTTTATTTTTCCTGTGCCACGATGATATTTTATATATAAATATGTTATTATTCGTCCAGTAGTATACTTTTTCACCGCAACCGTAATCGTGAACAAACTTTTCTAAATTCTGATTGTAAAAAAAAAAAAAGAAAGAAAGCATTTGTCGTGAAATGCAAAGCTTTGTAACGAAATATTCGAAAATGTCATAGCGTCAGATAAAAAGAACTCTTGGAAAAAATTGATGTTTTTAACGGCTTGTAAAAAATTTATCAGGTTTTATAACGGTACACTGATATAATGGCATTGCTCAAAGATCGATCGTAAATGCTAAGTGCACACACACACACACATACACACACGCGCGCGCGCGCGCGCGCGCACACACACACACACACACACACACACACCAATGCAACAGAAAGCAACAATTCTCTGTATGTACGTAATAAATCGTGCTACGTTTTAATATTTCTTTTTTTCAACAAAACAGCGTGTGTGATTAATGAATAAAAAGATTATTATTCGTAGCTTTAAATCGTTAATTTCAACTATAAAAATTAATTCCACAAGATTGCCGGTTTTGCCAAAGTAAGTTTTTAGAGTGACTACGCATTCTTACGGTCACTCTTCAGTGTATAACACGAAACAAAAGTAGTTTTCTGTTTTTACTTTAAACAAGTGATACAAGAAAAAAAGATAACATTTTGATACGAAATATCGTGTGCTTGCCTTACTTACAGTAACGTGGACATTTAATGCATATCCACTTATGTAAACTTTGCTGCGCAGGAAGAGATATCGTTTCGCATAAAAGAGCAAACTTCATTTACACTTTTAGTAACATAGAATTTTTTCCTAATCTGACTTTTTTCCCGAATTTTGTTAAATGTTGAAGAGAGCCTTCATTCGAGTATTATTTAATTTTTCAGTATTCAGTTTACAACAGTATACGACGAGTTATCTTGAAATCGATAAATGAAATTGGCTCGCGTTAGTTTTGTGGTGAGACAAAACAACTGATCTGTGTGTTAACGATCGAGCGACTTGTTCGAGACTTTGTTCATATTTATTCTTGTCTTACGTACCGGCGAAAAAAAAAAAAAACTCACACTGGTAACACTTTGTTAAAACCGGTTTTGTGTCGAGCAATTCCGAGTCGAAACTATAACTATTCGCGTGCATTCGCGACGCGAATCTCTCAGAACTGATCCTCCGTGCTCATCGTTACAACGAGGGCCGCCGAGATTGTGGAAGCTGAGAGAGAGAGCTAACTTAAATGGAACGGAATAGAGTTACGTCACACGGCACTACCATCCCCTTTGGTTCTTTTATAGCTAAAGGATAATAGCTTTCGAAACGGTAGCTCTCTCTCGGAACTTGCCGAATTGCCAGATTTCTTGCAATCGCGAAATATCTCGTCGTGTCGCGTCGCGCGGTTTCTCTTTATCTGACGGGGTGATAGAAGCGAAGTGAGAATGAAGAAATACATCGTTGTTTACAACGCCTTCTTATCTATACTTGATACGTTTATGACATTGCTACTTTGACATCTATCTAATTCTATCCAGTTTTCTTCACGACCTCTACCTTTAACTACTCCTGCCGCGCACATGCCGAGAACGGCAAGTCGTTAATCGCTCGCTCGGCGGAGCTTTCGTAAAATGTCTATTGTGCATTATTACGTAATTAGGGACTACAATCTAATAAGTCAGTTTTTTTATTATACTGTGCAAGTCTCGCTCTCGCTTGCACTCGCAAAAACTTAATCGGCGCGATTCTGCCCACGGCAGCCAGCAACTTATCGCGTTTGTTGATTGTCAGCGTTAAAATTATTGACGTTTATTTACCACGGTTTAATTTAGCAACTCAAATAACACGCAGACAGATATGTACACACAACATCCTTATTTTATTTTTTGTATGCATCACGCTTATTCCCAGGCCCATTGCGTGTTCGAAAAAAAATAACGTGCGACTTTAGGATTATATATATTTGCATTTCTATTTGTATTTATATATCAGAGGAATTGGCGCACATACTATGATTCTTTTTTATTTGAGCGTTTTGTCAGGATTGCTGGTAAGATAATATACATGTCGTTTTAATATGCTAAAAATATTATAATTACGAAATTAAATTACGATATTACAAATATTTATAATTACGAAATTCGAGTCGAAAGTCGAAACGTAGTCAAAGTTTTTAGTTGGTTTATTAATATTGCGTATGAGATAAGGAGAGAATATGTGTGTCTATAATATTTCCTGTAAATAAAAACAGGCTGAGGGAATGTTTCCTGCATAGATGAAGGCGGTATATTGCTACAAGCAGCGCTGAATTACGTGGGACTTTCTTGCGCAGAAAGAAACTTGCAAAGTGAAGACTCGTGTTGCGCGCCAGCAAACCGATAGGGGAAGACGACATTTATTTTACACAACTTTAAATAGTTTGTAAATATACAGTAAATATACAGTTTTCCTTGTCTCTTTTATGATAATTGAAATAGATTAATTTGGATTACTGTAATGTCTAAAACGTTGTTTCTTAATTTGACATTGATGACTAATTAAGATACGTGTCCAAACGTGTCAATTCGTCAATCGTCAATTTCAAAAATTTCGTCAAAAAAATCCTGCTTGTACAGATAGTTTGCGATAAACTTGTATAAATATACATATGTAACATATGTACACGATAGTGCTGTCTAACGCGTGCTGTCTGACACGTTAATTGGCATCATCAGCGCGATCTCGATCAGAGGCACGATCAGCCACCGAAAATCTCGATTCTATCCATCCATCGTGATGTTCGACTGGAAGGTGCGCTTGATAATAAGCACACCTGACGAAATTCAATTATCCGATTCCCGTGGGCAAGTAACCCAATTTGCACGTCATCAAGCCGCAGACGGGGAAATCGGTTCGAAGACTATCTCGACTACGGTGTATACAGGGGTATACCTATACCAAATATTGAAGTTCCTGAATTGCACCGGACTACCCTGAGGGACGCCAAATAACTACTCGTGCCGACTACGCGGCTACGATTTATCTGAACGACGGGTGTAATTGCCTGTAATCTACCGCGACGCGGTCGTATTACAGAGATCACTTGAGGGCAAAGAGAGCCATCATTCGGCACGAGTTCGCCAATATTATTGGGAAACGTTATACAAAAACTATTTGGATCGCAAATAATCAAGGACATCTGACACACCCTATATATATATATATATATATCATATTTAAGCTTAATGTAGCACACAAACAGTGCTAAGTTACATTTAGGTAGAGTTGAGAAATTTTATCAATGGCATATATAATGGCATTATGTACTTTACGTTGATAACTAAGTTACGTCAAAAATTTATCTTTATCGTTATCTGACTTTTTCCGGTGTTATCGCATCGCGTTTTTCTCAATTAATTTCACAAAAGCCAATTAAAAAGTACGCATTCGTTATTACAATCGAAATATAATTTTTGACATGCGTTTGTTAAATTGCCATTTAATTAGCATTATATACTGAAATTCATCATTTTTAAAATATAGATCAGTAATAAGTATGTACACACGTATAATTAGACTTAATGTGTCATAAAGAGAATATCAATTGGTCGGGGCACCTATTTTTGAATTTAATTAAATTCAATAAATCATTTCTAGACTTTTGTTCCTAACTGTTTCCTTACGATCTGAAAACGTAAATTGTCGAATGCTATGTCCAACTTTCCCTCCTTCCCACTAATCATCTTAATAATAATTTGAAATCTATTAGGAAATTTTTGTTGCGAAAAATAAGAATCTATTCTAGCTGAGATAATATTTTTCCCGATTTTCGGGTGGGTGTTTTATTCTTCGAGACATATGATAATATTATATAATAGGTTATTTCACGTTATTATGTGTCGATGCGACACATTAGCATCGATGATATAATTCTCTATAATTCAAAAATGTTAACGCCAACGACATTCGCAAGTTAGTCAATAATGAGACACAGCGTTTTATGTAATTCAAATAATTACGTAACTTGTACAAGATAATTATTGTCGACGTATCGGTTTGTTGATAGATTCTACCTTTTCAAACGAATTTCATTCTCCTCGCCCCTTGATCTTCTCCTCCCGTTCCCGATGGTCTGTCTTGTCATCAAGGAGGTTCTCGAGGTCTCTTTGGTGCCATCGTCAAACGTTCATGATCAAACGGACCACAGAAGGCGTGATTCCTTGCTTTCGCCTAATTCACATTCACTTCTATGATGCTAATGTAACATGTCGACCAAGTACAAGTCCGTTAATCACGTTAATTGATAAGATCTATTATTTATATAT